TGGAACAAATTAAAATTGGTCTGATTTGTACAAACTGTGCATTCAGACATAACTTTATAATTTACAATTATGCCCAAAGTCTTGCCCCACATAAGGAAAGGAAAAGATCTGAAAAAGGACTAATACCAAAACCCATTATTTTGTCCTTTATGGACAAGTAGGTTAAATATGACACGGGTATGTAGGTACTGCCAGAAGTCTACGTAACCTGTTTGAAATTTGAACAAATCAAATTCAAACGTACTGCTTGTCTCTCAGCTGACAAGACACCTACCAGCTCCCACGGTGAACGTGCAATAACAGTATGTGATCACCGAAGGGTAACTGTGTTGTTGAGAAACTGCAAGAGGCTTGAGGAAGAACTAAGGAAACCTGCTGATATTCCAGAAAACAAAATTAATTGCACTTTCCGGGCCAGGGAATTAATTGTATGGTCTGATATATGTGAACTTGGATTATGTGACTACTAGCCATCAATTTCTCCTCATCTAGGTCTCATATTTCATCTACTGCTGTGACAGTGTAACTTTAGGCCTCTTTGGAGCTTTTTGTTACCTTTCTTTAATAAGATCTTTGTGTCTTTGGAGGGGGAGTAGGGCTTATTTATTTTTACACTAAATGAACCTCATTTAAATTTCGACAAGAGCAGATTTCAAGCAGCAGGTTTATTGTAACTGAATTAGGTATCCTTCAATTCCTAGCTTTGAAATGATCGTAGGTATTTTGGGGAATGCTCTCTGCCCTCCTTTACAGAAGTTTACCAACTCCAAATCCCCTATCTACAGTAACAGCTATATACAAAACTACTGCACCAGAAGTAAACCAAAGCCACTGCTCTAGTTACAAAGCACCTGGTTTACATTCTGTTGTACTTTTTAAGGTTGCGAAGGCACATGATCATTTGGCAAACTGCAAAGACTGTTCTGGGGGATCCCTATGTAAACCATCTAACAGAGGGTTTTGGTAGCTCTTTTCTACACAAAAGAGACATGCTAAGTTTTCACTTAAATTCACTCTCAGTGTACTCTGTATTCTGAAGTTTTGAAACAGTTTCCTCCTTACACAGTTTTGTAGCTTTTTACTGCTGTCATGGTGCTGACTTAGTAGCTTCTGTGAGCATCCTTGAACTTAAGCGCAAAGCAAAAGTTTCAACAACTTAACTCTGCTCTTTTGATGATTTTGCTTACTAGGTAAGAAGGAATGAAGCAATGAAGAAAGAGGTTTAAAATGCATGCCAGAACAAACACGAAGTGCAAACGCTTATTAACAAGGCTGCAGTAAACAGAAAGTTTGTTTCACAAACTTCTATGTAAAATGTGTAACAGAAAACCAGAACACCCAGCACCTTCAAAGTGATGCCCTCACAGTCCGCTCATGCAACTGCTTTTTAACTGAACTTGACTGTACCTGGAAGCTTTGCCTGTCACATTGTGCTACTGGTGGTACTTTTTTCAACAGAGAGAAGACACATAGTCTACAGTACTATGAATAGTTTGTGCTACACATGCTGCACTCACAGTCGAGCAGGGAATGAAATCTATAGGCTGCAAAAGTGTGAAATGTCTACATGCTTCTTCCCTAAATTTAGCCCCTCCAGCTATCAAAACTTCAGCTTGTACTTGTTTGTGAAGTTTCTGGGGATCTGGCTTCCCCAAATGTTCTGTAAAATGGAGGATGTATTTACATCACCAGGCAAACACCAGAAGCAAACCTATTTATGCATGACCTTCGGTGTATTTTTTCCCCCAATTTGGGCATTTGTGGAAAGACATGGTATAATCAACAGTCAGCATTTAATTAATTTTATGTCATAAAGGCCAAGTTCTGCCTCTGATGAACACATGCTAATCCCAGTGATGCTGATGATAAGATGGCAGTAGTTGGCCTCAAACATTCTGCATCATCATCAGCTGCTAAAGCATTCAAGTACAAGACAAGATGATTTTACACAAGCATAAAAAGCAGAAATGGATTCATTAATGATCTGCATGAGTTTACCGAAAAATAAATGACTGTGCTAATTGTATCTGGGACCATGTAGGACTTAATCCACACAGAAATTACTTTCAAAACAACCAGGCCTCTATGCTCATGCCATTTGGTTTAAGCTCCATTACAATATTCCAGTTCCACAGACACATCGCAGGAAACAATCACGTACTGACAGGGAAGATGTAACAGGTATTGGGCCTCTTCTAACTGTGTGGAAAAGGCAAGGCAGAGGGGCTAATAAAGACATGAATAGCTGGCACTGGATACTGGTAGTTTTGCAAATAAGTTATTAGATACTGGATACTGCAGAGCTAAAAGCAGTACTGCCTAGATGTTTGTCCCAACACATGCACACAAAATACAAACACACTTCCCTACCATGGCACGTGCATGTGGTTGGGACACCACAGAGAAGCTTAAGAAATATGGTAATAGCAGATCTGAGTGTTTTTGGTCATTTCAGTTTACTTCCTTCATCCCACCGCTATATAGGGCACTCAGTGCTTGTCTGCTCTTATCTCCCCATTCACTAAACATCTACGGGGCACCTTTAAGACTGGTTCCGATGGCATGCAAGACATCCAGAAAAACTCCTAAAGGAAAAGATGAAAAAATTAATAATCCCAATTATTTACAAACCAAATTTCTTCCAAAGTTTTGCATGAGTATTAGGTGGGACCTCTTACAGACAAACACACATTACAACAGCTATCTGGAGGGAAACAAACAAACGTGAAAACCAGTAGAAATGCATCCTGAAAGGACTTCTCTAAACAGCAGCCAAACAACTTGCACATTCCTCAGGGAAAAATAAAACAAAACAGAAAAACAAAACTACAAACAAATCCCAATAAAAAAACCCCAAAGATCACGTGTTACTTATAAAGTGCTTTGCATGGACAAGGACAGCAATTTTCCTTGTGCTTTTCCTATGGGCTCAAGAAGCATACTGTAGACTAATGGGTAATGAACCTTCACAAAAATAAGTTCATTTTAAGCAAAGACAGAATGAAATTACCAACAGTTATATTTTATCAAACAACCTTCTGCCAGCATGACCTTGTGGAAGGAAACACGGGCTTTTAACAAGCTCTATGAAACAAATGACTGTTGAACCACCCATACATACTTGCTCTGACAACAGTTTATTTAGAGAAATTATTAATTTCCAGTATGCCCGACAGGTACAAATTAGGCCACAGCCCATGCGAGGGCTGGAGGGAGAATGAGCAGTGACTACTTCACCCTCTGGGAGTCTGTATCTGTAAATGCTCTCACCTGCCTGCTGACCCCAGCCAGCCCCAGGCTCCTTCCACCTCTTGGGTACTGGCCTCAGATGATGACGAGGGAGTGCTCTGATTTAACCCGTCTGCACACCACCGCTCCCTCATTAGCTTCTCCACACTGGAAAGTGGCTATTGCTACTATTTAAATTCCTGCCAATCTCAATAAGGAAAAAAGCCTTACAGCATCTGAAGACCCACAGCAGACAAGAAAAGAAAAATTTGTGCTTTTTTTTTTTTGTTTTAAAATGCATCCTGTACACAAAATCAATTCTATTCATGTACCAACATGAATCACTTCATTCTTGTAGTGACTATTAAGTCATTCACTATTGCTGTCTTGCTAATGTTTGTGGAATTAATATGAATACACAGTATTTCAGTTATAATTCCCACTTCAGATTAGTCCAGTCCCTATAACTCCAGTAAATATTTACCGACAAACATAACAGACTACCAGCAACACTGCAGAACTCCAGGGTTTTAAAAGCATGTTTCCCTACTAATGTGCGTTTCTCCCTTGGCCTGGGAGCAACCTTCTGCAGACAAAACCAGTACAACTCTCCTAGGGAGGGAAGGACAGTGTCCTCACCCACTACATCCATGTTTAGCATGGACACAACATTCACACACATTTAACTCCTTCATTTATTTGTCATGATTTTGTTTAACACCTCCCCTGCCCCCCTCCCCAGCAAGAACCTCCCACCTAGAGGGGGTTGATTCTCCTGCTTCACCTGGAGTGGTACAGGGCAGATACGAATCAAATTCTGAAAACTTCTGTCTGAGCTTGAATTTCTTTCTAATGTGGTCTGACTTGCCTCTGTATACAAATAATTTACATGTAATACCACATACCAGAGAACTCCGCAAACAGATCACATCACAAGATATTCTACTAGAGGTAAACGATGTGCAGAACTTTATGAGTTGTATTTTTCCCTGACTGGGTAACTTGTCAAAAAGCTACCAACCATTTGAAAACCAGGACTGGAGGACAGGAAAACAAAGCATTCTAATGGAGATACCGCCACCTTCATCCTAGTTTGCAAAGTGTACAAAAGGGAAAGACAAACGGGGGGGAAGAGATGACAGGGAAAAAAGCAATGAGAGGAGAAGTAGTCAGCGTGGATCCAGCAAGTACCGTTTTGTTTTGATCTAACAACTTGCCATTAGGACAAGATGCTCCACATTTACACGCACACTTATCAGAGGACGTTTAGTTAACAGGATAAAAATCCTTTAAAAAAAGCTCTTCAAAGTACCAAAACATAATTTTTGGAATGTCTAATTCTAGGGGGTTTTGTATTTGTATTCAATTCAACCTGAGAACTTTTTTCCCCATTTATGAAAACATTACATATTGGTAAGGTACCTGGCATTAACCTGCACCCTCTTTTAAAATAAAACTTTTAAAGTAGGTACATACACCATTCACAGTCTGTATCAGAAATTCTACAGACTTCAGATGCTGCGGTAGCATCTTTGATAAATACATTGTATCATAGGATACAAAAGAAAAAAAAAATAGAGGACAATCTTGCTACATTTTTTTTTTTTTAAACTTCAGTTTGTTGCTGGACCAACAAAAGAAGGATCTACCTAATCCTTCTAGAAGATGTTGTATATGCACACACCAAGAAAATACTGGAAAAGAAAAAGGTTAAGGTTGGTGGTGGTGGTTTGTTTTTTGAAGAAGTGATAAAGTAAATCTAAAAAAAGGTGCAGCAGCATCCCCTTTTCCTTCAGATTAACCTCTCTGCCTTAGAGTAACATCTTCTCCAGCTCCCATCACCCCACACTTTCAATTTTAGTGGAATAAACTCCAATAACATAGACAGATCTAGGTGTTTGACACTGTAATACAGTGAAAAGGGGATACTGCATTGTCCATAAATCAGTGAGTACACCAAGAGAAAAAAAAAGATCAGAATGGAGGAGGATTCTTTTAAATTAGCACTCATCAGATATTCAGCCTCTGATGGTACGTTGTTAGAGGGAGAAAGCCGACTGGCAGACCATCCAAAGCAAGTCTCCTAAGTTGCAGCAGCAGTTCCATCCCCTCATGCCCGAGCACCACAGTCAAGCCACGAGCGCCCTCTCCTCTCTCCTGGGAATGATGCCAACGGCACAGGCAGCCACTGCGGGTCTCCGAATGCACGTGGTGGTTTGTGTTGAAGGAGAAACACTGGCAGCAGAGGATTCTGGTTCCCAAAAAGGTACTTTTTTCCCATTGTGTTGGACTGGCAGTTCCATTCTGCTCCACTTGTAAGCTTATGGATATCTTTTCTAAATTACTTTAGGTTTTGTGGAGCAGAATAGAGTTTTGATGTTAAGAAACTGTAGGAACACAAGACTTAAATAACAGAGTGGGTGCTGCCATGGTGCTGTGGCTACTTGAACGCTGCAAATTCTCCTGTAGAGGGAGGACAAGAGCTTGGTTTAAACAGGTGATTTCAGTTACTAGGTGGTCAGCAATTTTCTCCAGACTAGTTGAACGTTAGGTTGAATACAAAAGATGTTAAAAAATGCAAACTGTTAAAATTAAAGCACAAAAGAATATATAGTGAGAGAACATTGAATACAGACCCAGCATATTTTACCAAAAAAAGAATTTCTTGAAAGCAAGCTGTACCCATTCGTCCCAAGACAGAAGTCTGAAAGTTCAAGCAAAGTCTAATTCATCATGCATTTCAAAATAAAATGTGTCAGTTTAATTTAACTTTAAACTCCCTATTGCGCATGTATCCTCCTGAAAGGCAACAACTGCAATAAATGAGTCACACTGCAAACTAATTTCTAGTCTGGTATGAAACTGGTTAAATAACAAAGAACTACCTGACACACTTGTTAACCTTTAAAGACTATATACTGTAAAGTGCCTGAATATTAAACCAGTAGTGAAGAATTCCAGAATCTGGTTTGGAGACCAACATAGCAACCTACTGTGAGAACAGTAAGAACCATGAGATTAAATTAGGCCTAACAGGGAGCACAATGAATAAAGCAACCTCATGCTTCCTTCAGAATTATTGAATAAACAATTCTATGCAGTGCTTTCACATGCAGTGATTGCCTGAAATTCTACATAGTTTATTTAGTGTCAGCATGCCATGAGATAGACTGGTAATCCCATTTCAGAGATGACAAAACTATGGCACAGAGTAAAATCGCTACCCAAAGCCTTAAGAAGTTTGCCAGAACACTGAATAGTAGCTGAATCTAAGACACTCATCCTCTTAATCTTATACTTTAGCCAAAAATTTTCACTGTAACCCACAAAGAAATTGTATTTTATAGGATTTTTAGGGAGGGGTGTCCAACTATGCTTAACCAAAAGGACTCAGGAGCAAGAGAAAAAGAAATGTCATGTAACTTCCCCTTGTTGGGTTTCACATGAATTTTGGGTTAGTTTATGCCTATTTCTTGACAGCACTCCTCAAAGCTCTCCTGATAATGAAGGAGTGATAAGCAGACATAAGAGAAACTTCATCCTGTTCAACAGGAGTGTGTTGAATGTCATTACACCCAAACAACTGCTCCCTATCTTGGTGTCCTTCCATCCTTTCAAGAGCACGTGTTTTGTTGGCTTTCCCTCTTCTTAAGATTCCTATTCTGAATATTTGAAACAAACCAGAAACATCCCTGCAAACAGAATTTTAGGCTGACAGCATTCATTCCATGCAGTGTCTTGCTCTAGAAAGAAGAGAACCAAGAAGAGTGCTCAGCAGTCTGTATGGGGAGGAGGAAGGAAAGGCATCTCCAGGCCCTGGTCCAGCTGATCTAAGGGAACATGAAAAAAGCAGGGAGAGGGGGAGAGGGCTCTGTGTGTCGTAGGAAATGAGAAGAGAGTACACCCAAGGTCTAAAGTAAGGGTGGCTGGCACAGGGGTTTGTGACAGACCTCAAGCTCTGTGTATCCTGATAGACTCTGGTGGCAGGTTTAAGTTATAACAACAAAAGAATAAGAACTTTACGATGGATCTGATTGCCTATTTTACTAGTTACACCAACAGATAAAACCCTTGCTCTAAATCCCACTAAATATTTGATAATTTTTCTTGCTTCTCTATGGCACATTTCACTAATCTCCCAACTCTCTTCACAGTTATCTTCTAGAAACACCTAAATTTTTGTACTTTTTTCTTTTTTAAGATAAGGAGGACAAAAAAGTCATCAAGTATTGCCTGTGAAGCTAATTTTTAAGAATGACATTCATGCTTGGCTACACTTTCAAAACATGCTCTACTTAATTCATTTTTCAGTCTGCTTTCCTAAACTGCCGACTAAAGATCAATTTATAAACAAGAGATTGCTCCCTCATTACTCATCTTGTCCTTCTGCCCATTTCTGGTAACAATTCAGCTTTTAATAGTCATACAGGGATTTCAGAAGATAAAAGATGAAACATTAATTGGGAAAGGGCAATGGAAAAATGTGATCAGAAGTCAAGAAGCATTTCAGATAGAATGGTAGCTATAAAAAGGTGGTTTTTCAGACTTTTCTGCTATTTAAATAAAACCTTAGCAAAGATATTTTCTCTGACAAGCTAATGCTAAATCTCCCCTTCCAAAATTCAGGTGCTAATCTGATCTCAAATCAATAGGAGACCAAAATAGGTAACATGTTCATCTAATAATGGGATTATGTCAATTGAACATGTATAAAATGTGATTACCAGTAACAGCTTTCCCTAGATGAGGAACGTAGATGGCTATACGTACAGGAATCCCCGATCCTGCTAGGTGTCAAATGGACTTCCTGAGGAGTAGCTAAAACACTTTCTGTCACCCTTTCTATTCTAAAGATGTAAAATACCTGGTTCTTTTATCTTCTGAAAGAAACTCCATCTGTAGGAGAGGAAGAGAGAACACAGGCAACCTCTTCCAGAGATTTAGATGCATGCACACAGATAAATGAAGTAACCTGAACTGTGAATTCCCCATTTTTCTACCATGACAGGAAGGTCTTGCCTGAGAGGAATGTATGGTCAAAGTGAAGACAGCTTTAGGAATTTGCTCTGATATGTCCTGTCCTGCAGGAACAGGATCATCCTGATTTTGCCCTGATAAGGCTTTGGATGCTGTCCTGTAATGGCCAATGTTAATCTGAAGTGGGACTGCTGCAGTCCCACTCTCCCTCTTGACCTGAGCTGTAGAGCAATGACCTGCTCGCTGTGCTACATCGGCACTATCTGGCCCTTATGCAAGATGGCTCAAGGAGCTGACCTAGCAAATATTAGCTCAGGCAGGTGGGTAAGGAGAGTTTTATAACCAATTTTTGGAGAGCTGCTCCGTTGGTGGTGGTGGGAATGCACTCAACTGTGCAGAACAGACTTGTGGAACTAGAGAGTATCTGCCAGTGTAAGGGTAAGGAGCTGGGCCATGGCTGCTCCAAATGAGATCAGCTTACCGTGAAGCTATCAAACCACATACTTAGTGATTTGGGATGTGAAAAAAAAAAAACACAAGACAGACATTTTTATTCATTGTGAGCCAGACATCTGATGTGCTTTTTACCCAGCAGAACTTCAGATACTTGCTTTGACTGGTAGCAAAGAAATTCGATGGATAGCATTTGAAAATCTACACTTCTTACAGAGCCATTTCAAGTTAGTCACTACAGTCATTTCATGCTTGTCTCATGCAAAGCAAGTGGAAACTATTTTAAATGCACACTTTCAAAAAATCTGTACTAAAAAGATGATCCAGTTCTTTTATGTTGTGTCCAAACAGAATATTATAAAGGCATGTTCTGAGTGAACCTGCTACCCCTGATTCCTGGAAGGACTTAAAATGCCATTACCAATCTCTACGCTCACAAATTTATAATTTATCTGGATTCCTGAGGTTACTAAGGTATGTACACAACACCTCAACTATACTCCTTTTATCCTGGGGTACACACACTTTCTCAGAAGAATTGTAAGGAGAAGAATGGTTCCCTTCCAGGTCCGGGCCAGCCTCGTCTACTGAAGTAGACAGTAACTGATTTATCCAAGGGAAACATGAAATTCCAGCACCTTGCCTGGAGTACGTTCACAGACACAGAAAAACGTATGGCAAAGAGACAGTCTTCTGTTGGATCTTGCACTGATCTTATAGCATGGATACCATCCACTGGCTAATTAAAAAATTTGGAACATACACTAACATGGATAATTAGTATCCTCAGAAGAATATACAGCAGCGTTTATGAGAATCTCATCCTTCTAGAAGGTACCAAGACAGATTTTTTTTTTCTATACTGAGATACATGTAAGTAAAGAAAAAAGGAATCTCACATAGGTTAAACTACCCCTCCAGGAAATCCTGGGATCCTACAGACCTGTTTTCAGGACCAATAGGTATCTGTTTCTAAACAATTAGTTGAGTTGCATCTTTGAGAACACTGACTCAAAACCATAGGTGTATTAAGGCATCTTCATCCTACATATGTTCCCAAATCTCGAAGCAGCAATTACAAGCTACAGAAGTTAAACCCCTAAATGCCTTTATGTCAGATAAAGTAAAAGATCCACAAAAACTAGCCTCCTTTTAGGCTTCATAAAATGTTTAGTGAGAAGCTAAGCTCACATTATGCCCAAAACAAAAAGACAAAGAAAGAATTCTAATGCACTGAGCATACAGAAGGAAATGGGACCAAATTTGTCTAAGGATGGCAGTATTTTTTCTTCCCCATAAATAAAGTTCCTATAGTACAGAAGAACAATCTTAACAACAAGGAGGATAACACTACGCCAAGGAATAAATTGTTTGAATTCATCTGTCAGACTTGAAAAAGAGCAAGCCTGGGCAGGGCAGTGATGACTGTTCTGCACTCTCTGTAGCTGCCTGTGCAGTTAAGCCTTTTCTGCCTTGGATGGTGCATTTCTAGATTCTGCAGGAGACCCAGCAGCATCCTCTTGCTCTTACTGAAATGGGAACTGTAGCCTGTACTGAATACCATACCCCAAAGCTTAAGAAGCATTCCTCCTCACTGTCTGGAATAAAAAAATTAATGAATAAGAGGAGAAAAAAAACCATTTAAATCCTGTTTTCATTTTAAGATAGGCCTGCCAAAATGAGGCGAAGCTACCAGAAAGATGAGAAACAGATTTTCTAAAACAATAACAACTTTCATCCTCCATTAACTATTTCCGTAGAGATAGATTTCGATTGTCCTGACTAACAAAATGAGAAAAGTTAGTCCCAAACTGTTCCAACAGCAGATGCCCAAAAGACCATTAGAATCAGGCCAGAAAACGTAGAAACTACCTACACCTCTTCAAGCTCTCTAACTCTCCCTGATGTTTTAAAAGTCTCAGTTGCCAGACAGCAGAAAAGAAAACCTTATTTGAATTCCTGATCTATTTCAAAAACCTATTGCTAGCAACATGCAAACTCCTCTATAAATACACAAACTAGAAGCCATGAAGAACACTCCTGGCCCTTGCCATCCTAACAAGAGCAGCAATAGCTTGTTTCTTAAGCAGAAGAATCTGTGAAAATTAATAGCTTAGCAGTTTAAAACAAACAAAACCACAAAACTAATTTCAAAATATGCAAGAACACAGTCAATAACATTATTGTTTTCATATCTGACATCAAAAACTGATATAACCTGAACCACTACTCTGATTCACCTGTTCCAGAGCAATGCTCCAAAGATAAATGCACTCTTTAAAGTGAGCTGATAGGATCTTGGTAAGGTGTCTAGCTTTCCCAGTTACATATCTAATCTAACCGATTCACTTCCAGTCAAACTAGCAGCTTTTATATGGAAGTGAAAAAAACCAACTCGTCACTGAACAGGACCATGTTCACTGGTATTCTTAGCAATATTAAAGTAATTAAAACATTTAATCTTAACAGAATTCATGCTATAATACTGATTTCCTTGAAAACAACTGCTTTTTCAAACTCTCTTTTCCTATTATGGGTGTTAGCAGCCTTTTTCTCTTAATGTATTTGGTTATGCTCGAGACTTAAAATGTTTTTTTAATTTTGAAATCTGTGCTAATTGAAGGATTGAAGGACACAGGCACCATTACCAGTAATATTCCTGCAGTTCAGTAAAAGTAGTTTCAGAATTTCTTCTACGTTGCATTGTAACAGAACATTTTGAGAGGGTCTAATCTATAGCAGATCAGAGTAGTTAGGTAAAAATAAAAAGTAAAAAAAAACCCCATGCCACCACTCCTCTACAGGAAGAGATATCCTCTAAACTGCACTATTTTAAACTTCAAATTTCAAAATAAGAGTCACACATCACTAAGGTCTTTCTTTGGATTCTGTGTTGTATCTGCTCACTTCTGCTGACCACAAGAAGTTTTGACTCTGCTCAGCCTTGAAGCTAAGTTTATTTTTCCAATTGTTTCCCACACGAGTAGCATTAGCAACTGAGGAATCCAAATCTTATTGCTCAAATATAATGACTTCAACTGAAGTAATAAAAAAAACCCCACGATAGCTTGAGTAGATGAAAATAAAATACACTCCTGAGTAATTAAATCCAATCAATAAACTAGGCAAAAATGACATGGGCAAGCAAAAATGACACCAAATGACCTTAAGAGGACTTTTGCTTGTTTTGAAGTGACTTTTCCCATTTCTCTTATGTGACCTTACAATTCTCCTTGTGCCAGCTGTTCCCAGGACATGTCTTACCAACACAGACTTTGTGCTCAGGACATTCAATGCCCAGTGTTAGGAACTGACTCTTCATGCCCTCAGTAAACCTTAAAAACATAGCTGGTAGGAACTGAGAACATACATGTGTGTTGCACGCACAGGAACACACCAGCACACAGACACACAGCACATGCTTTCACATTTCTTTTCAGTGTACTGGAAACCCACCGTATCCCCCTGCTTGGATGGGTGTTTTTGGAGAAGCACAAGCATATAGACTGAAATCCTCTGTCTGGAAGCCAGCCCGGTTTAGTGAGGGCTCAGATGCACTGCGGTGAATTTTTGGCAATGACCGGGCCAGAAGCTCAATGGAGGCAAGAATCTAAAACAAGTAAAAAATAAGTGATCAAATCTGTTGTTCCAAAGCTGTCACTGTCTCTTAAAATCAAAGGCAGGACATCACTTAACTACAGAAAAATATTTACACACAAATTTAAACAGAATCTTTTAAAAATAGATTACTGCATTGCACTCTCATGGTTGTGCCCTCAAAAAGCTGAAAAGGACGTTTTGGGAAGAAACTGTCTCATTTTCCCCTTTAAAAGGGCATACTGATTTTCCACTATAAGCATAGCAAATATAGTTGCCTTTTATTTGCCTCCTTGTTTATGCGCTAGTGCCTATACCTACCACCACTGCAAATAAACGCATCTTTGGCAGCAGTTTGATGAATCCCATTTACCAAAAGCCAGCAGCAGGGGGAGCTCCTGTTTTTTTGAAAACCCTTTGGTTACATTCAAAACAACAACAAAAAAGGCCCCTCCACACCAACCCCCAAGCTTTTAGAATCCAAACATTGCTCAACAGGCACGATACATCACGTTTTGTGACAAAACTATCAGTTCCCCTTCATAAAGCTTGTGGGAGAGCAAGGAGGAGGAGATAAAGATTTCTGAGAACATACACAGCAAGTTCTAATTTGTGTATATAATTGTGATTATTAATTTCACAGTTTCCCAGCTGAACCTTTCTCCAACACATAAATGCTTTTAATACCTGCTTTTTGAATTGAAAATAAACATTTCTAATTAAACAGCACTAACTAGGTACTGAACCAGCACTAATAAAGAAAATTTTGGACTGGCCAGTGAGTTCATAACATCTTTACTTTTAATATTTGAATTATAAAGTTTACTGAGAACTAAAGAGGAATATTTCTCACCTGTGGAAAAAGGGGTCTCTCATCTCTTTTCTTTTTTAAGCATTCTGCCATTAGTCTCTTCATAGCTTTTGGGCAGTTGCTCCGTACTTTGCTGAGGTCTGGAGATAGGTATCCTCGTCCCACCATAAAAATTATCTTTATTTAAGGGGAAAAAAAATGAAAGAGGAAGAAGATGAGTCCATAAAACATTCTGCTAGACCATTTTAATACCCGCAGCAAGTTTTCTGCTCCCAGGAAACACTATCTGGTATTGAAATTGCCAAGTTTCTTAGACTAATGCTTGCTAGCCTATTCAGTACGGAGAAAAAAGATTTTTCTTCCTCCTCCTAAGAAAGATTTCTGTGAAACTTTAACACTAGTAAGTAGTTACCATTTATAGCAATAACCATCTAAGGAGTGGTTCTTTGGTGTCAAAACCTGCTACAAAAACAAGAATAAGCAACTCTGTGGCAGGAATAAAATGCCTAAAATAAATATTCTGTAAAAACAAATATACTGTTTTAGAATATAACTCAACAGCAAGTTCACACTGAAAGGTATTTTAAGAAACACATGGACTTCATATATTAAAACCCCTTACCTTTCGAGATTAAACCCCTTCATATACTTTTCCACCACAAAAGCTTATTCTTGATATCTGACTACCTTCCCCACCTCCACAAAAAAAACCCACAAAAGAAAAAGAGAAACTGACTCTCCTCTGTAGAAGAGAAGACAGATAGGCTTTGTATTTTCACAGTAATTCCTTTAACATGGAGGTCTTATACTTCACCTAAGGATAAAACTTAAGGATAAAACAAAGTAATAGAAAGCAGGAAAACAAAGCATACATATGGTTAAATTTCTCTTGGATATATAGAAAAACCATCAAACATCATGTCAAGCCAAGGTCAAATGCAATGTAGTTTCAGTACTGCAGTTACGCTGAAACTAAAAAGCCCTTTCAAACTAAACTAGCTAATCAAAGGTCCATTCATGCTGCAGCAGATAAACACTATCTTTTCTGAATACTCAGAGAGACCGAGCAGGTGTATCATACCTTATACGTAATGAAGTGTAACTATTTCATATTTTGACGCTAGGAAAAAAAAAAAACCACCACCAAAAAACCCAACCCAAAAGAAAACCCCCGTATCTCAAGCAAGCTATACATGTTGTTTATACTAATATAATCCTGGTCCTTCTTCATCTTTCTGGTTCAGTCGCATCTGTGTTGGCATCAAGTAGTATAAAACTCCCATATGGCTTCTTTAGAAATCCCCATGTGCCAGAGCAGCATTTCATAGTAAAGACTTGTCTACCCTGTCCCTTAACCCTGCTGCAACGAGACTCACGACTCACCATCATGTAGAAGCTACTCCTTTCTGAATAATTACACTGCTTAAGTTGAAACTATCAAAAATTCTTCATTATTCCCAGTACTCTCTTTACAAATCATGTAGGGATTAAACTTTTATTTTAACTAGAGAAAAGAGAATATCACTACAAGAACAGTCCTAGTCTGTCTAGAAAAACCTGTTAAGGTGAGAAAAACGAGCATAATGCTTTGCTCACTGAGGTTCTTAGTTATGTCATAGTAGCTGATGTAGATGCACCAACACAGAGTAAACAATATTTACATCTTTTCACACAAGAGACTGGGAGTAACAAAACTCAAGACATTAGATCACATTTTATATGTTGGCTTTAGTTCCAATTTAAAATTTGTTTCAGCACTCAACTGTGAGCATCCGCAGCAAAGGGTTCATCTTTCAAATCTCAAAAGGTAAAAACAAAACAATGCCCAAATACTGCTTTTAGAAGGCTGTATCTATCTAGCCAGGAATCTGGATATTTCCCTTCTTTCAAAAGAAAAACAAAAGAAAAAAAAATAAAAGAAAAAAAAGGAATCACTCAAAATTTGATGAATTGGGATGAAGTGTTCTGACAAATATGGAAGCAGCCTCATAAAATGGCATTCACAGATGAACGTTGCTATGGTTGCAATTCTCAAGTACTGACAGTGAAAAAACAAGGGATGCGGACACAGATACATAAATATATCACCACTCAGACATGGAATAGTTTACACTGAAGGTCTTGATGCATAGATACTATTTTCAGATTAGACAGAGAAATAATGAATCAGATATGCCTTTGCAAACGTGCCTATCCTGTGGAGATGTATTACAGGTGTGTGGTATCACTAGGCTTAAGGAATATTTGTTCGCAATTAAGTAATCTTCTTACAGGATTCAGACACTCTGGAAAGTCATATACTCCATCAAGCAGGATTTGAGAAATACTGATATCCTGAAATTCAATTAGATGGTGCGTGCATTTCTCAAGATTGAAATGAATATAAAACATTCAGTGAGATGATTGCTGTTTCATTTTGTCAACCCTGTTGCTGAACTATTATTGAATGCAAGGGGAGGGGGAAAAAGAGGAATAACTGAACATATGGAGGATCATTTTGCCTTTGCAGAACTATTCTAAACAGATTACTATTAAGTAACCTGCTCTCTCCCTAGTAAGTATCCTGGCAACCAGCTCAGAAGCTGAAAATCTATACTTGAAGTAAAAGAGAACAAAAAAAAAAAACAAACCTCAAGAGAAGTAAGTAAATTGGTGCTATGTGGCTGAGGCAGATCTAGAAAATGTAGAAACATAATCTCATAACATCAGAATCAGAAAAACAAATCAAACACACAAAACATCAAAACGTGCACTTCAGAAGGCTGAATCAATCTCTGTTTCAGGCCACAGCTGACAGAAGTCAATCCCTTCCCTTACCTGGTCCCTGTTGTTGATGTTTGAGTACGGCAACTGTCCAGTCATCAATTCATAAAGAACAATCCCAAACGCATACACATCCGACTGAAAGCTATATGGGTTTTTATCTTGCATCCTAATAACTTCTGGTGCCTGTACCATAAAAGGAAAGAATTAAGTTTTTATTTCACCACGTCAGGCTGCACCTCACATATCAGGACTTGTCCAGAGTATAACAGGTGCAAGGCCTACTCTTGCTTTCAGATGTTACCAGATTCTAATATAGAATGGATGTTGACATGAACCTCAAAATCTGTTGGTTCATTTTAGCTTGGTGACCCCCTTATTCCTCTACAACAGAACAAAATGACCTTGTCCAGGCTGAGAAGCTATTTTGAAACTAGAGTTACAACAACACTGAAAATAATGCCAACTAACAGAGCCTTCAGTTTTTTCAGGGAGAAAAGGAGAAAGTGGAGTTACACAGAAGGCTGTAACTATCCTTCTCATTAAGACTTAAGCAAGTTGTATGAACTCTTGAGGGTAACGATGCTTGAATCCTTAAAACTTAAGAGCATCTTGCTTTCAGCCGAGCTAGTTCCTCTGCTCCTTTGCAGGGTGTTTTCCGTGGCTTTTTCACCTTCTCCTCAACCCTGGATGAATCAAACCCTTCCCATTTTCTTTTCAGTTTAAACCTCAGAATAAGGGATGAAGACACTAAAGTGTTTTTGCTGATTACTGTAAAATACACACTTGAAGAAGAACTGAAAAGCATTCATTTAGTACTTCATATTACTGCTTGTCTTTTCTAGCTTAAGACAGCTCGTATATGTCACGTGTGCTGGAAGGGTAGTCTTAGCAACTTTGGCTAAAGGAAATTAAATTTGTTGAAACAAACACATGACTTCCCCCTTCCTTACCATCCATAGAATAGATCCAGACAACTGTTCAAACTGATGGGATCCGCTCCATCGTGATTTCACTGTAGCTAGACCAAAATCACCTATTTTTACTGTGAGGTCTTCATGAAGAAAAATATCTAAGGGGAAAATGTTAAGAGAAAACAAACAAACGGTACTGGTCCTGTCCTACAAGAACAATAAACAGCTACAAACCTGCAGCATTAGACCACCTCTGAAGCAGGTTTTCATGTAATACAGGTTCTAAGCAGCCAGCATGGTGAATTATGGTACTTAAAGGTTACATAAGCAATGACTGGGCCAGTGTTGAACAGACCGTGGCCCAGGTGGCTTTCTTGAAATGCCAAGTACTTTCTTGAAATGCCAAGGACAAGAAAAGCTGAAAATATTCCATGAGTGAACTGGCGTAATCTTTCATTACATGTAGAAACTAAATGATGTAAAAATCTTTTTGATACCACAACAAAACTTGCTATGTCATTGTAATCACATCAATAAACATAAGGATCCCTTACTTTGCACTAGCGATATTACCGTTCTCAATGAAATTTCAAGTCGGCAAATATTGACACATGAATAGCTTTTCACATCAGTAAGTTCATTTCTGGCAGAAAAAAATAAATCCAAGAATGCTGTCACATCTCTGGGAAAGGATACTATTACTCTTGAGGTCTCTGTGGATGATTGACTTGGCATGCAAATAACTGAAAAGGAACATCATAGATTAGGTGTGTTAAATTATATTTCACTAACAACAACTCAAAATTCACTGTATTACTGAAACACAAATTCTGCAGATATTCAAACTACACATATTTATCAAGGTGGTACAACTTTAGCTACTCATGACAGTTCCTGCAAGTCACAGAAAAAAAAAACACAAATAAAATTAAGCTTGGATTTCCAGCTCAAACCTGATGCTACTGAAGAATGAAATAACAATTATGCACCAACTTCTGCTTTTCATTTCTAAATGAACATTCAGAATAAAATTAAAAGAAGTTCAGTAGTTTTTGACATGCCATTCAGTGCTGAAGGTTCTGCCTCCCAGCCTTAGTGGTGACTGTCAAGACACTTTGCGGGCTAGTCACAGCTTTAAGTAAGGTGTTTCTAAATTGTGGGAGCTAAATGTACTTCCCAGACTCTGTGTGTACTCAGGTATGCTTACTGCATTTTAGTATGGGACAGAAAAAAGATCCCCTGATTGCAGACTGGATAAATAGATTACAGGGAACACAGAGGAGGGTACTTGCCCCAGAGCATAGATATAGCTTAAATTAGGCAACTAGTCTCCCACGGCTCTTTGTTTAGTCAATGAAATTGGCACAAACCTGCTGCAAAAGCTCCAATTTATGTCTCTGCTTTGAATCACGCTCCTAAAACAGCTTCTGCATCTCCACTACCCACAGAGGGAGCCTAGGGAGATGCGCAGGCTAACATAAGGCTGTGGCTGGTTGCTACAGACACCTCCCCAATTCTTGATTGAAAATGTAATGGAATACTTAGTTACAAAAATAGCACAATTAACTGCAATCATCATAGTGGTTTTACAGCTGGAGGGTGATTTCTCTGATCTTACATCAGTGTTCTGATTTTGACACACAATATTGGGCTAGTTTTGTAAATTCTAACATGCTCAATTGCCCTCTATGGGAGTAAGGATTACTTATAGTCCTTAGAACAAAACAGGTGTGTTTTCTTCAAATGCTTAAATCTATTATTTAGAGAGCTACAATACTTATAACAAAAGGAGAAAAAAATCAATTCTGTTTGCTAACAGGGCTATCTGCCTTCCACATTATCTTACAGGATTCTGCCCTTTCATCGACAGGGTGTTTCTTTTTAAACTATGTCTTACATCCTACCATGAGACTATCTGCTCTGTGCAGATTGTAAAGCCTGCAGAAGTCTTTCCTCACAAGATTGAAAGTTTAACTACACTGTAATTATCTTTATTCTATTATCAAGACTATAGTTCCTTGATGATTTGTATTTTCTTATGTTCTGAAAAAAGAACATTAATTCTATTTTACTCATCAAAATAACAAACACTTCACCAAATGCTCTGATCATCAAGGCAGGACCCTGGGCTTGGCAAAGTGAGCAGATAGCTGGCCAATGTCAGTCAGAACATGAAGGGAATAAGTAAACCTTGCCCCAATGCTCCTTTGCAAACAAGTGATATGATACTTACTCCATGCCTTGTGCAGTCTGTCGTGCAATATCAATTAGTTTGATCATTTCAAATTTAGTCTCAATGATGTGTAGATGGTGATATAAGCTGGACCCCTCACACCACTGTGTAACAATAGCCAACTGTGGTTTTGTTGAATAACCCATGAAAAGCAGGATATTCACATGCCGTGTTTTCCTGTCAAAAAAAAATCAGGAGGAAATCAGGCAGATCAAGAAATCAAGAAAAACCCAGGCAGATCTATCAGTCTAAATATGCATTTCCAAACAGAAGTTGTGTCAATCTCAACTTTTACTAAGATAACACGATAACCTGTTGCTAGATTCAGTTTAATGAATTATTCCAGCAGTTAGCCTTTCTTATCATAATGACATAGAATACCTATTCTTGGGTAATCACCGCTTCCTCTTGCTTTTGCAAGCAGCCTACCACAGGATTGCTCAGAAGATGTTGTTACCACTAAGTCCCCATGGGACAGCGATGGACTGCAGGCAGGTCTGCTTTTGTGTAACCCCAGTCCAGTTAGGAGATGTTGCTGCCCATCCAAAACGAAACTCCAATCTCTAAGGCTTCCAGAAAGGACAACTCTTTCGTTCAGAAACCATCAACATGCTTCCTTGACAAGGCTTCAGTTTTTCTTAGTGCTTTATCTGACAAGAATTTTCTACTCTCTATGGAGCCAGCATACAAGAAAGGATGAAAATAGGTATGAAAACTGTGTCTCAGTAAGGTTACGATATGAACTTGTTTCTAAAAAGCACTGGGAGAGACTGGAGTTCACCACAGAGATGATTAAATCAAACCTATTTCAAAGATGGAGCAACTCCAGACAGAAGAGGTTCACAACGAATAATGCAGAGAGCATTATCCCAGTAGATAATTCCAATAGATTCAAGGTCTGAAACAATCTACTGATTCACTGTGAAACCTGAAAGAGTCTCCTCACCCTCCAGGAAAAGTCAATCGCATTCTTATTGTCACCAAATGGACATGAAGAACTAGATACCTCCAAAACCACCACAGAGATATTACAAAGATGAAGCACCTAAGAATTCTGGAGTATTTCCTAGCTTTCACAAGGGCTGATGAAAAACAAAGGCAATCTTCCAACACAGCTCAGTACTGAAGGCAGTCAGGTCACTGTTGACGAAACCTGACAGACCAAGCTTAAAACCTGTGATAGCTTCTTAAATCTATGCTGCTGCTGAAGATGGCAGAGCTCTTTATGTTTTCTTATATTAAAAAACTAACATGGGAACCTAGAGTGTGAACCCACTTGTCCTCTCAGCAATGCAGACCAAGTCAGTTCTACGCTATGTGACTGTGCCTTTCAGGTTCAAGGATTTGTCCAGTGATGCGGAGAGTAACTGCTGAATGAACAAAAAAAAAAAAAGTGGCTTCTTGCAAAGCCTATCTCAAAGCTAAGAAAGTAATGATGAAGCATAATGGAAAAGGTACAAGTACAGGTAAATCTGGCTTGTCTGGGTCAAAGGACAGGACAACAGACTATTTACTGTAAGTGCTGAAACCATCAACAACCGAGAAAGGCTGGACTCCAGCTACTGGACTGCTGTCAGAAATCTTGACTAGGTATGAAATACAAGATTTTTTTATTTCATTAAGTTCTTCTGAGCATGTATGTCAAAAATATGCAGAGATATCCAAAGCAGCATACCCCAGAAAGCCTCCACTTCCACAACTATGGGCTTTGAGTTTTCAGCACTAACATTTCCTGGGTAAAAAGGCTGACCATCTCCTTTTCACTGTGTAGCTTACTGGGGATGCTCTTCCAGCACAGGCAACCAGATCAACACATCAGTTTTCCAGATGAAAAAACTTTCTATTTTGTTTCTTAAAACAGAATTATGGTTGAGACTGCTCAAGACTGTGCTTGGATCGTGTTGATGGATCCTCTTTTCAGAGCTGAACCCAAAACAAATACTTCCTCTGAGAAACTATAAGCAGTAGACATGAGTAAAAGAAATCAGGAAGTGACTTTATGAGAAATGCATTTTAAAAAACCCTCAAAGGCAAGTCAATGCTACTGAACAGAAACTATTAAACAACAGATAATATGGGCAATGCTGTATCTCAAAACCAACAAATAGTTATGCTCTCCTTATACCTCAAACTGTGATGAGAGAAAAGAAAGGCCTAGAGTTCACACTCGGGCTTGACTATGCCCTGGGGGTAGTCTAATAGCAAAAAACAGTCCTGTCTTGAGGGCTTGGACGTACATAGATTCACAACATAGGTAGACAAACACATACAGGGGAATGAAGAACTAGCAGTGGATACAAAGAAATATTTTAAATTGGCAAGTTACGCTTTCTGCCCAAAGTATCATCATGGAGGAATAAGACCAGTGTGGTCTAATGGAAATCGAAAATTCAATGATTAATGAAACATAAATCTGCACACGTTATTTTATGCCATTAAAAATATTCTTACCTGAGCACTCCTACTTCATTTTTGAAAGCCTGTAACTGTTGAGGTGTCGGTGCCGTAACATTCAACATTTTCACTGCCACATCACCTTTAAAATAATTTTTTAATAAGTGTCATTGATACGTATTCCTCTATTGAGAAAATGGTATACAGAGCATCACGAAATATTGAGATACTCCATTTTCTCACTTTTGTGAAATAAACCACTACAATATGAAAATAAGTCAATATTCTGTAAAATCCTAGCCAAGTCAAAGCTTTCCAAATACACATTTGAAATCCTCATTCATCAAGATGGATGCTTCAG